TCTGCTTTCGTCTTGATGCGGAAGACCCATTTCCCGGTAAGGATGGTTTTGTTCCGTGCCACGCTTACGGGAACAACCTTCCAAGTGTTGCGTTCCTCTAATGCCTTCAGTTCTCTATCCATGGCTTCACGCCATTTCTCCCTGTGTTCCCCCCCCAGAGCCTGCTGAACCGTTGCAGGCTCCTGAGGAAGCGAGTTGCGTGTGTTCCCGTGGACTGCGGTGACGAGGCCGAGGATTTGCAGCCCAGTCTGTGAGTATCGAGGGAGTTCTGGATCCTCGGGATAAGCTGCTTCGTCTCCCGCTTCTGGATCAGGGATGAAATTCGGTCCTATCCTTTCTGCTTCATTTGTGTTGACGGTTGCAGGTGTTACGTAACCGGTGTCGGCGAAGTGGTAGAAGACTTCGGCGTTGTTACTGTCGCGAGGATTTTCTTCGTCCATGGGCACGTTGACGGAGCAGTACGGGAGAGGTCCGGCTTCTGCCGATGCGTTGTCAACATTCTGCTCGTCCCAGTCTGCTTCATCCGCTGCTGATGCGAAGGCTCGGTCACCACGAAAACCACTGGTGAGGTCCCGATTCTCGTGCAAGTTGGCGAGGTACGTCTGAAGGGTGAGTCTTTCGTAGAAGATCACGTCACGTGCTGCTACTGTTTCCTTTGTGTGGACGTCGAAGATTCTCCATGCGTTGTAATTTTTCTCGATGCCGAGGTGTAGTCCCCACTGTGCCCGTTGCGAAAATCTTCCCGCTCGTGCTTCTGGGGGTCTGTACTGTACCATGCACCCGAAAACTCGTAACATTTTCGTGCTGCCCTGCTTCCCTGTCCACAGCAGATGCGGTGATGCGTTGTTCGGGAGTGATGACGACGACAACAAGTTGTGCAGCATGACAGCGTGGTCCATTGCTGCTGGCCACTGGTGGTTGGGTAGCCGCATGCCACGTAACAGTTTGCGCATGCTGTTCTGCAGGGTCCTGTTCAGTCGTTCTGCAACACCTTGCTGCTGATGTGCGTAGGGAAGGGAGAGGAGTTGCTTGATCCCCCTTTCCGCCAAGAACTGCTTGAAGCGGTGAGAGGTGTACTCGCCACCTCCGTCTGACTGGAAATTTTTTAGTTGTGTTCCAGACTCTCTCTCTGCTATCGGTAGCCAGGCGGCGAATGCTGCGAGTGCCATGTCGCGGCTGGGTAGGTTGCGATGCCAGACGTATCGAGTGGCGGCGTCGATGAAGGTGATGGTGTAGTTGTAGTTGACTTGTCCTGGTTCGCGATTGTAGAGGATGTCGCTGTAGACTTTTTCGAGTGGTGCGTACGCTGGAGCGCTCGGGTTGTGATGTGAAGCAAACGGTCGATGAGGTAAGTCAGCTTCGGGACATATAAGGCAAGTCCCTCGTGCCTTCTGGAGTTCTCTGCCATCGGGTAGAAGTAGAGAATCTTTGTCAAGGACTCCTGCTCTTATCGTGTTATTCAAAACCGTGTTGCTTGGATGTCCTGTTCGTGCGTGCCAGATCTCTTCAGAGGCGCGGTGTCCAGGTGAACGCTGATATGCGTCGGAGTTGGAGTAAAAGTTGGCGACGAGGTTGGCGCTTCGGTGGACTTCACGTTGAGTCGGATTCAGCTGTTGTGCGGGTGTTGGTGGTGCTTCGTTGACTGTGACTGGTGTCGTTGTTTCTGCTGCTGCTGATGTTGTTGCTGCTGCCGATGTTGTTACTGCTGCCGATGTTGTTGCTGCTGATGTCGATGTTGTTACTGCTGCCGATGTTGTTGCTGCTGATGTCGATGTTGTTACTGCTGCCGATTGTCGAATTGTTGCTAATGCTCGTGTTCGTTCTGCTTCAGGAATGGTGTGCGAGTACCAGAAGCCTCCCGGGCTGAAGTCGGGGTCGAGATCCGGAGGGTGTGTCCAATCAGTGAAATTCACGATGGCGTCGCTGTCTGCAGTGCCGAGGTCAGGAACGAAGTCGAGGACGAAGACGTTGTTCTTCAGCACTGCTTTTCCGATGTAGAGACCGCCTCTCCCGTGGTAAAGCTTGAACTCCTGGGTCGTGCTGTCGGCTTCCAGATGAATTCCTTTCGCCATCAACTGGCTAACGCTCAGTAAGTTGTAGCCGAGTCCTTCAGCGATGAGTACCTTAGACATGTGCAGTATGACGTTTGTTTCTCTTGACTGAAGTTGTACCACTCCTTGTCTTCGTGTGCGCAGGTTTTGGTTGTTGGCAACCGTGATGATTACTTCCCGTTGGAGTCGATGTTCGCGTTGTACGAAACGCCCGGACGAGCACATGTGTTGCCCGCAGCAACTGTCCAAGAACCAGGTGTCTTGGCCGGACGGTTCACTTTGAGCGATGGCGGCGTACGTTGGATTCGGCTGGAGTAGCTCACGGCGAGGCGTTCTGTTGTCAAGCTCTTCTTCCGGTGAGTAGTGTGGTGGTGATTCGGTTGTACACGAATCGGTTATCTTCGTCATGCAGTTGATTATGTTTCTTGCTCCTCGTGCAGGTTGTGAAGTCGTTGAAGCTTGAATAGTGGTCGTCGCACTTGCTTGTGTTGAAGCCATTTGGGAGCTTGAAGGTCGAAGTTGTCGCTGTGATGCCGTTGATTGCTGACGATTCGGGCAGTGTGTGCGCGGGTGCCCTGAAGTCTTGCAGATGTGGCAGAAAGGAGGTACTATCTTCGGTTGCTGCTGTCGGTTGTTATAATTGCTGTGTCGTCGTTGAGTGTGGAATGCGAACTCTGATACTGTCGTTTTCTTCCTGTGTCGTTCTTCCTGCAGGTCCATATCTTGTTGCTCGGCATGTATTTCGGCGCAGAGTGCAGCTTCAGAGATTCTTCCGTGGGCTCGAAGAATGGCTTTGGTGGCGCGCCACTGAGGACCAAGCCCACCAATGATGACTGTCACGAAGGCGTCTTCAGAGATTGACCCTCCGCATCGAAGCAGCTTGTCGCGTAGTTCGTGACATCGGCTGATATACGCCAGTCCTTTTTCTCCTGGTTTCATTTCAACTGTCGTCAACTGCGCCATTAACCTGCTCTGGTTTACACTGTCTGTTGCTTGATACAGGTTCTTCAGATGGCTGTACGCGAGCTCCGCCGAGTTGCCGAAGGTCCGGTAAGAGCGAATGTTCTGCTGCTGAGTTGGTGTCACGTTCCTCAATAGGATTGTATACGCCATCATTGATTGATACGTATACTGCTGCTTTTCATATTGTGTCCCGTTGGCTGGATACTGCAGGGACCCGTCGAAGAAGCCGAGTATCTGCGCGCCCTCCATCATCAGCTCGAATTCAAAGGACCAGGTAAAGAAGTCTTTGCCGTCGAAGGGTCTTGACGTTTGCAGTTTTAAGACGTGTGCAAACTGCGACTGAACTTGAAGTGCGTCCAGTGGTCTTTCTTGTCCAGGTGAAGGTTGCGGGTGGGGCACGAAGCTGATTGACCCGCGCTCGTACGGAGCAAAGGTAGGTTGCTGCTGCTGGTTTCCTCGCGCATATGACGACCCATCAAGACTCATGGGTGTCGCTCCATTGTTGCTGTTGTGTGTTTGTGCAGGTCCCGACTGCTGGTGTTGTTCGTAGAAGGACATGAAGGAGAAAAATTTCTCCATCATGTTCTGGTCAAAGTCCGAAGGGTGGTTCATGGGGGTTTCGGTTGACGTTCCTCTTGGTCTTGTTGCCGTGCCTTCTTCTGTCTGCAGGCCAGAGGCTGGCGGTGGAGTAGGAGTAGTGCCCGAGGAGCCATTAGGGGAGCTCCTTTCCTTGTTTGTTGCCATGTCTTGTAATGATCTTGAAAAAGGAGTAGAGTTTCCCTTGTCAGCTCTCATACCATGTTGGGCTGAGATAGCCCCTTAGGATCTTTGCAAGGGATAACTCTAGGTGAAGTAGTTGTAATAGCGGAAGCGTTTAGTGAAGAATTTGAACCGACCTTGCACTGGTGTGTGAGAGCAAAGTTGATTGAATTAAACAAGCAAATACAAGGATTTATATAAGAGTACAGGGAATACGAATAGATATGTAGATAACTGTATTGCTGTTGCGGTTCGATACAGTGCGACTCGGGCAACTGCTCTGTAGCGAGTCAGTTGTGTGTCCTTAACTGTCGCGCTGTAATTGCCGAGTCAAAGGTCAGCGACCTTTGACTTTCTCGTAACCTCCAGGCGGTTACCCTAACCTCCGAGGTTGACTCGATGCTCCGATTGGGACTGCTTCGCTTGGTGCCTTGGGTTTTGATACGACAGAAGCGCACTTAGGACTTATTGTTTCCAACAGCCTTAACGGGTACAGCCCGAGCACTTCGCGTCAGGTGGCTCGGCCTACACTTCCGCACCGAACCAAGGCCGAGTCGCCCCGCACCAACCGCGACACATCCAACCCATCCACGTCCCGAGGTCCTCGCCTAGCACGGTTTCGACCCTATCAATGCGTGCTCCTTTATCATTCTTGATAATTCAGTAATTCTGTAATCACGGTCTCTTTATAGAAGTCTTCCGCGCACTCTGTTTAGTAAAACTCATAACAAGTTTGGTGAACGAAGCCACTCAACCGAAGTCAACGCGAGAATTTTTTGGTTTAGGTTGCGAGACCTTCGTCTTCACGAAATCATTTCCCGAAAGAAGTCTTTCGCAATTCGTGGGGCAATTCCTTCACGGAGCCATTTTGCGAGACCCTCGTGTCAACTCGTTTGTTTACTGTTTATGGATCGTGGCTGAGGACGGTTCCATACTTTCTAAATCGGTGTTTTTGATATCATCGTACCTAACCGTGACAGTATGAGCAGGGTGAAAAAAACATGTGTGTTAACTACCAGGTTAGAACATCATTGTCTAGTCTACATTTTCAGGCTAGTATAGCTAGGTATAACTAGTGAGACCAGAGCTTCCACGAGCATTCATTTAGGCAGGTACGAGCATACTATTAGTTAGGGCCTGGGCGTTTATAGGAATTGTGGGTCGCTCCATAGTTAAACTCTAACCCCGACCAGAATTCGTAACAGTCAGACGCGACACACCATTCTGATGGGGGGAGCAACGGGGGAGGACGGGCCTAAGTATGAAACGGCGCACGAAGCGGGGGGGAACTCAGGGAGCGGGGCGACAGCGCATGGGGCGGGGGAGAACGCGGGGAGCGGAGCAACAGCGCACAATGCGGGAAAGGAGGGGGGTGAGGCGGCAACAGCGCACGAGACGGGGGAGGAGCGGGGCGAGATTGCGACAGTGCACGGGACGATGAGGGAGGGGATGGCGGTGCTGATTGACGTGAACGGCGAAAAGGCGTCTTTCGCCATGCTGCAGCGAAACAGGTGCGTCTTTCGCCATGCTGCAGCGAAACAGGTGCGTCTTTCGCCATGCTGCAGCGCAACAGGTGCGCCTCGCAGGTTCTCTTCCCCTCATTCGCCGCCTCTACTGCCCCACCACACCACCCCCCATATTCTCTCCTCCTCCCTTTGTCCACCCTCCCCCTTTTCTTCGCTCCTTCCTCCTGTTTTCTTCTGATCCCCGCTGTCCCACCTCCCTGCACTCCCTTTTTTCCCGTCATCCCAAACCTCTCGTAAACCCCTATCCCCCTAGCCCCCATTATCCCCCTTCCCCCTTTCTCAGTCTTCCACCCTCCCCGCGCCCCTCTCCCTCCCAGAACCGCACGGGTGGGCAAGCAGCAGTGCTCCCTCGCGCCCCTCATAGGCTGCCCCTATCGTCTATCCCTCTTCCCCCCTTCATCATCTCTTCTTCCCGTGCCAACTCTTCCCCCTTTCCCCATTCTCCCCTCCTCCCCTCCCCGCGCCCCCCTCTCCGCCCAGAACTGTGCGGGTGGGCAAGCAGCAGTGCTCCCTCGCGCCCCTCATAGGCTGCGCCTATCGTGTTTCCTTCGTCTCCCCTTCATCCTCTCTTCTTCCCCTGCCAACTTTTCCCATTTCTCCCTTCCCCCATTCCCACCTCTCTGCCTCCCCCCTCCCCATCCTCCCCTCCCCACCCCCCTCTCCTCCTCCCCAGCACCGTGCGAGTGGGCAAGCAGCACTGCTCCCTCGCGCCCCTCCTCAGCTGCCCCTTTTGCTTCCCCCCACTCCCCCCGCCCCTCTTCCCCTCTTCCCCCCAGCACCGTGCGAGTGGGCAAGCAGCAGTGCTCCCTTGCCCCCCTCATAGGCTGCCCCTTTGGGTCTGTCTTTGAGCTGCGCATGGGGGGAGAGGAGGGCGCAGGGGGGGGCGGGGGGGAGGGGGGAGGCGGAGAGGGGGAAGGCGGAGAGGGGAGCCAAGCGAAGGGCGCGGGAGGGGAGAAGGAGGATGATAAGGGCGATGGGGGGAAGGGCGGAAGGGGAAAATGGGGTGGACGGGTGGGAGGAAGAGGTGGAGGGGGGAGGGGAGGGGGGAGAGGAGGAAGGAGGCCGCAGCTGGTGCGAGTGTCAAAGGAGCAACTGAGGGAAGGTGAGTTACTGAATAAGTGAAGCAGGGAGGGACGGAGGGCGAGGGGGAGGGAGAAGAGGCCCTCTCTCCTCTCCTGCTCTTTCACACCAAACCAGAGTTTTGAAACGTCTGGCGACCGCTTTTGCACCCAGCACCCAATGAATGAAGGATTGATCCCATCCGAAACATGTTTGCCGCGTTTTAGTCTCTTAGTGGAGCCAAGGTTTGGGCTTCAATTCTCGGTTCTCTGACACCTTCACGCACTGCTCTCAATCTTATGCTAAAGATTCGTCTGAAACGCTTCTCGCGCAGTCTACATGCCTGACGCACCAAGCACTCACTGTTTGTATGTGCCCTGACTGACCACCGCTTCTCTATCGTTCCAGATTCTCTTGCTGCCATTGGGGAGGTAGACGCTGCTGCTGGTGATACTGCTGCCACCGCTGCTGGTGATACTGCTGCCACCGCTGCTGGTGATACTGCTGCTGATGCTGCAAAGAGTGGAGAAGCAGAGATGGGTGCAGAGGGCAGCAGCGGGGGGGGGAAGGACAATCGCAATCTGATCGACGATAACACGGCGCAGAAGCTATCGGCTAATGAGATTGAAGCACTCAAGAGGTGACTGGCCAAACCAGAAGAAGCACACTCAACTCAACCAGCTTTCACCATTTTTTCGTTTGCGAAGCCTTTACATGTTTCCACTTTGTTCACCTTCCCAACCTTCTTCACAGTTTTCTTTACTTCAACTTTCTTTTCCTTTTCACCATGTCTACTGTTCATGTTCCAATTCTGGCTTGGTCACCTTTTCACCACTTGACCCTTTTCACCACTTGACCCTTTTCACCACTTGACCCTTTTCACCACTTGACCCTTGTCCCTGTGGCTCGCCACCGTGTGCGCGTGTGCAGGCAAGCAGCATCGGGCCATGAGGTGGTGCGGGCACTGGCGGCCAACAGCGTCTCCTTCCTCTCCAAAACCGACTTCGCCCAGGTCATGCTTCGCCCAGGTCATGCTTCGCCCAGGTCATGCCCGCCCGCTGCTGCTTGCTGCTCGCTGCTTGCTCCTACTTGCTGTCTGCTACTTTCCATTCCACTACCGACTCGCACTTCCTTCCACACCAAAACCTACTTCGCCCAGGTCATGCCTGCGCTGCGCCTGAATGCTCCTCCTCGCTGCGGGATACGTTCTTTCTCTACTTGCTCCTGCCTCCTTTCAACGCCCGCTTCTGCTCGCTCCTGTATGAATCTCACTCTCATCCCCTCTCCACACAAGAGGTATCTGAGGAAGAAGCAGAAAGAGCAGGCAAAACGCACTCTCGTGTGATTATCATTACATTACTGTGTCATCCTTCTCTCGCTTGAATCACCGAATCCCTTCGCGCTCCACAACAGGAGAAGTATCTGAGGAAGAAGCAGAAGAAGCACGCTCCCCGCCTGGTCGCCCGCTTTCCCACAGCTGACAGGTCTCTCTGCCTAGCCTAACCACCATGCCTCTCTGCCTAGCCTACCCACCATGCCTCTCTGCCTAGCCTACCCACCATGCCTCTCTGCCTAGCCTACCCACCATGCCTCTCTGCCTAGCCTACCCACCATGCCTCTCTGCCCAGCCGCGATGCCTCTCCAGCCATGTTTGCAACCATGCAACATCCACCCACGTTCTTCACTTCTACATGCCCATGTCTGCATGACTCTAACACTCATATGCGTACACCCCAATATCATGAGCTGTGTACAGCATTGTATCGTGCACTGAACTGAACATCGCTGTTTTCTGTCATATCGTTTACACGGTTTCCCTACACGATGCATACACCACAAATAGTTTCTGTGGTCTCGGGACTGCCTGCATTCACAATACTCAGAAAAAAGTATTCACTGAACCTGTTCTAACCTCTCTTCCTTATCTTTCTCCTTCTCGTCGTGCCTCATCCTTGCTCCCACTGCACATCAGCGTGTGCGAAGCGTACTTCACCAAGGCGCCTGCCAGGATTGGGTGAGTGACAAGATGGCTTTTGAGAAATTTCAAGAGTGGATGAGTGAGAAGATGGCTTGCCTCCCAGAACAGTTTGGTTTCTCTAGCATGGCGTGATGGACAAAGCGGTGTGTAAAGCAGCATGAGACGCAGTGCACTCGGCAGCAGTGTATTTGCATACAGGCCAATGTATTTGCATACAGGCCAATGTATTTGCATACAGGCCAATGTATTTGCATACAGGCCAATGTATTTGCATACAGGCCAATGTATTTGCATACAGGCCAATGTATTTGCATACAGGCCAATGTATTTGCATACAGGCCAATGTATTTGCATACAGGCCAATGTATTTGCATACAGGCCAATGTATTTGCATACAGGCCAATGTATTTGCATACAGGCCAATGTATTTGCATACAGGCCAATGTATTTGCATACAGGCCAATGTATTTGCATACAGGCCAATGTATTTGCATACAGGCCAATGTATTTGCATACAGGCCAATGTATTTGCATACAGGCCAATGTATTTGCATACAGGCCAATGTATTTGCATACAGGCCAATGTATTTGCATACAGGCCAATTGTATTTTGCATACAGGCCAGTGTATTTGCATACAGGCCAGTGTATTTGCATACAGGCCAATGTATTTGCATACAGGCCAATGTATTTGCATACAGGCCAATGTATTTGCATACAGGCCAATGTATTTGCATACAGGCCAATGTATTTGCATACAGGCCAATGTATTTGCATACAGGCCAATGGCACAAAAACTAAGTCTTTCTGTCAAACGGATATGGATTGCGTACCGTGTGTGTGTATTATGGTTGTGCTGTGTTGCTTCACCTGTTGTCCTTTTTGTCCCATATACCACAGTCTCCTCTCTTGCCAGTGGTAGCATCGCCAGTTCTGCTAGCCACGCACGCTTGCACCTGCTGCTCCAGGCAACTCTTTCCCCTCCTCCGCCGCGCATTGCTCCCCGTCTTTCTCACTCTCCCCACCTATCTTTCTCACTCTCCCCACCTATCTTTCTCACTCTCCCCACCTATCTTTCTCACTCTCCCCACCTATCTTTCTTCTCTCCCCAACCATCTTTCTTCTCTCCCCACCTATCTTTCTTCTCTCCCCACCTATCTTTCTTCTCTCCCCACCCATCTTTCTTCTCTCCCCACCTATCTTTCTTCTCTCCCCACCTATCTTTCTTCTCTCCCCACCTATCTTTCTTCTCCCCCCACCTATCTTTCTTCTCTCCCCACTTATCTTTCTTCTCTCCCCGTGCGTGCCCTGCAGTTTCCTGCGCCCTGGCAGCCTGGCGATGTTACCAGGGCAACTTTTGAGAGGCACCTCAGAAGTCTGGCAATTCTGCTGACCACGGGCAATGTGTGCGCCCCCTCCCCTTGGACATGCTGCTTCAGGATAATCCTTCCCTTCCTCCACCCATTACCCTCCCTCCATCATTATTCTTTTTTGCAGTTCCCTCCGCCCCGACAGCCTGGCAATGCAGCTAGCAATGGCCAATGCGGGCACACGCACACTCACACGTGCTTCAGGCTAATCTTTTCCCCCCTCTCCACCCGTTGCTCCCCTCTCTCCCCATGTGTGCCCCGCAGTTTCCTCCGCCCTGACAGCCTGGCGATGCTGCTAGCCATGGCCAATGTGGGAGCGCACTCGCAGGTGCTGGTGCTGGACGGCACAGGGGGGCTCATCACGGCTGCTGCCGCGCAGAGGATGGGAGGCCACGGCGCCATCTGCAGCGCCTTCTATGCCTCGCATGTGTCCCACGCGCCCTCCATCGACATCATCCGCCATCTCAACCTCTCGCTGCCTGCTGCCGCCATGTATGTCAGTGCCACCCCTCCCTCACTGCTGCCGCTGCCATAACCTCTCCCTGCCCGCCGCTGCCATGTCAGTTGCTCTGTCGTGTGGAATGTAGTGTAACGTGGCATGTAACCTGCCTTGTATCGTGTCATGTGACATGTCCTGACAGCATCTACACTTCTTTCCTCGCCCACATCCCTCGCCTGCATGCCATGCCATGCCACATATCATGCCATGCCATGCCATGCCACATATCATGCCATGCCATGCCATGCCATGCACCCTCCACCATCACCATCCTTTGACACATCCTTAATACGGTCACTGATGCTCCCATGCGATCTGTTTGTCATTCTCACTGTTGTCCCCCCCTTGCCAGCATTCATCGAGCATCGGTGCAGCAGTTGCTGGATGCACACCACAGCTGGTCGCAGCAGCAGCAACAGAAGCAGGTCACTGCAGCAGCGGATGCGCCACAAACAGCAGAGGCGGTTGCACCCGTCGCAACATTGAACGATGCGGTGGCAGCAGCAGATGCAGTAGATGCCTCAGGAGCAACAGCAGCAGCAGCTGATGGAGAAACAGCTGGGGGCGGTGAAGGGGAGGAGGCTGAAGGGAGGCCTTGTAAGAGGCCCAAGGGGGCAGGGGACGACAGTGCTGCTCAGACCGGATCGGAGGGAGCAGCCGGTGCTGAGGAAGCGAGAAAAGCAGCAGACGGTGTAGATGGGTTGAATGCGGTAGCAGAGGCTCCAGCAGTGGAGAAGATGGAAGTAGAGGAGGCAGAGGGAGTGAGAAGTGGTGTGAGAGAGGGGAGAGAGGGCGGAGGGAGGAAGGGGATGCGGGAGGGGGAGGGGGAGGGGGAGGGGAAGAGCAGCCTGACGCGGGAGGAGCGGGGAGCACAGGGGGCATTGGGGCGGGTGGCGTCAAGTGAGGTCATGCAGCAGTGGCTGCAAGAGCATGGGGGCTTCAGTAGGTGAGCTTTGCAGATTGCCTTGCCTGTAAGGGCATGGGGCCCTGTAAGGGCATGGTGAGGTTGAAAAGGGGGGCCTGATGGGCGCATCTACTCTCAAGTCATGCAGCAGTGGCTGAAGGAACATTGCATCGCCTGTAAGGGCACGGCTTAGGACGGCTTCTAGTGACGACACTAGGCGGTGGACTAAGGAGCGTGCCGTGGGATTAAGAACGGCGCAGTGAGGGAATTGCAGTGTGGGCATTGAGACGAGTTCCAGCTATATCTTGTATGGGAAGCCATGGGGGGGAGGGTGTTTTTCTTGTATGAAAAACACCATAGCCATTGTGGGAAGCCATGGGGGGGAGGGTGACCCCTGGCGTCCTGTGGAGTGCAGGCATGAGGCAGTGATTGCTACACCACCTGCTATCACCTCCTTTTCTCTTCCTCTGCTACCCCTGTTGTGTCTTTTTGTTCTCGTCGAACCCTTCTTTATCATCCATCCTCTCATACCCGTGCATCTCCTCATGTCCCTCCTCTGTCTCTCTCCACGCATCTCTCCATCCCCTCCCCCTACCCCTCCCCGGTCTCATAGTGGCAGCGCCTGCTTGCTGCCCCTCTGCCTGCCATGTCCCCTCAATCCCATGCCTCAAACCCCTCTGTGCCCCACTCCTATTCACACCATTCCCCATGTCTCTCCGATGAATCTCCCCAGTCTCATAGTGGCAGCACCTGCTCTCTGCCCCTCTGCCGTGCTGCAGCAGCTGCTGCCGCTGCTGCAGCCATCTGCAGCGTTCGTGCTGCACCACACCACACTGCAGGTGAGTCGAGAGGTTGCAGGTGAGAGGGTGGAGAGCTGGTGGGGGGTATGAGAGTGGGTAGCAATCATTGACGCTCCTGCCTCGGCGCAGCCGTCTGCACCCTTGGTGCTGCACCACACCAGGCTGCGGGTGAGAAGGTGGAGAGCAGGGGAGGGGTTTTAGAGGCGAGGCGCCAAGACCCATGAATAGGTCACACACGCGCTGGTCGGATGAGACATGTCTCACGCCCCTGCTGCTGCTGCTGCAGCCATCCGCAGCCTTTGTGCTGCACCACACCATGCTGCAGGTTTGAGGGTGGAGAGAGAGCAGGTGGAGGGGAGAGAATAGGTGAGAGCACGAGAGAAGGTGAGGGGCGTGAGAGCACGAGAGAAGGTGAGGGGCGTGAGAGCACGAGAGAAGGTGAGGGGCGTGAGAGCACGAGAGAAGGTGAGGGGCGTGAGAGCACGAGAGAAGGTGAGGGGCGTGAGAGCACGAGAGAAGGTGAGGGGCGTGAGAGCACGAGAGAAGGTGAGGGGCGTGAGAGCACGAGAGAAGGTGAGGGGCGTGAGAGCACGAGAGAAGGTGAGGGGCGTGAGAGCACGAGAGAAGGTGAGGGGCGTGAGAGCACGAGAGAAGGTGAGGGGCGTGAGAGCACGAGAGAAGGTGAGGGGCGTGAGAGCACGAGAGAAGGTGAGGGGCGTGAGAGCACGAGAGAAGGTGAGGGGCGTGAGAGCACGAGAGAAGGTGAGGGGCGTGAGAGCACGAGAGAAGGTGAGGGGCGTGAGAGCACGAGAGAAGGTGAGGGGCGTGAGAGCACGAGAGAAGGTGAGGGGCGTGAGAGCACGAGAGAAGGTGAGGGGCGTGAGAGCATGCAGGTAGCACCATGCTGGTGGGTTGGCTGACGCTCCTGTTGCAGCCGTTGTTTGCAACTTGGCACGGGTCTTTGCGTTCGCCAATCTTCAGCAGAATTTGGGTCTTTTCTGCTGCACAGCCTCCCTCTCCCATTTGCTCTCTCCCCTATTATTTTCTCACTTCCGTTTTTGCTATCTGCATTCCTTGGCAGTGCGTCACTCTCCCCTAACCCACTCTCCCCTAACCCCACTCTCCCCTAACCCCACTCTCCCTTTCCCCCATCCCTCTCCCCCCTTATGCAACATGTCAACTAGCAGATGTGATTGGATCCTCTTTTGAGGCGCCTCAACTGTCACTCGCATCACGTGCGCTTGCTTTCCCTTGCCCCCCTTGCGCCCCGCACGCCTGCCCTTCTCCACCCCTGCAGCCACTACCAGAGGCGCTTTGGGCATCATATGAGGCGCCTCAGTAGTAGATGTATGATTGTTTTCTCAACCTTCACTCCTGCTTGCACCATACACGCCTACCTTTCCCCACCCCGGCAGCCGCTAGCAGAGGCAATGCGGGAAGCAAGGAGCAGCGCGGTGGCATTGGAGCTTAGCGAGCCATGGCTGAGAGAATACCAGGTGGGGGGAGGGATGAGAGAGGAGGGAGGTGAGAGGAGGGAGGGTAGGAGTAGCAGGTGAGAGGAGGGAGAGAATGGTGAGGGGCGGTGACGGGAGGGAGGAAGTATTGGTGCCGCTGGGGCTGAGCGAGCCGTTGCTGAGAGAAAGAAAAGGTGAGGGGAGGGAGGGAATACCAGGTGAGGGGAGGGAGGGAGGGCGGAGGGGGGTGAGAACAGGGAGTGGCAGGTGAAAAGGGGCTTGTTAAAACAGGGATAGATGAAGGCATGGGAGCTCAGTGCGCCGTGGCATTGGAGCTTAGCGAGCCGTGGCTGAGAGAATACCAGGTGAGGGGAGGGAGAGAAAGGTAGGGAGGTGCGGGGAGGGAAGTGAGAACAGTGAGGTGAGAACAGGGAGTAGCAGGTGAGAGGAGGGAAGCTAGAACAGGGATTCGTTCAGCTATTCTATGCTTTGCTGTGCTATACAGTCTGCTCTCCCTCCCATGCTCCCCCTCCAGGTGCTGCCTCAGAGGACCCACCCCCACATGACCATGTCTGCCACGGGTGGTTACCTGCTCACGGGAATCAAAGTGGTAACACCCTGAATCGGTCTCACTACAAGCAGAATCAAATCACATCCAAACCATTGCTATGTTGTTTTATGTGTGGACTTGGGTATCATAGATTTGCCAGTTACATTGTGTTAGCCATACCATCTCACAGAATAGCACTTGGCGCCCGTGTGAATACAAGTCATGAAGGTGCGTTGACAACAAAGGCGTGGACCCACTCTAGTATCTCGCCAATGCTGCTAGGGTGTTTCCTTCTCAACGACTGCACAATCGCCTCAAACGGTCAAGCTAACTCCTCTGCCGTGAGACATGCCAACCCGTGGCCCCGCTCTCCCACTTTGCACCTTCTCTGACACCTAGCTAGGCGCATAGTGTTAGGATTCTGCTCGGAATAGGTACCGTATGGGTAAGGGGGCGGACTACCAGGCATGACTTCTGAGGCGCCTCAAAACTCGGAATAGGTACCGTATGGGTAAGGGGGCAGACTACCAGGCATGACTTCTGAGGCGCCTCAAAACTCGGAATAGGTACCGTATGGGTAAGGGGGCGGACTACCAGGCATGCTGCGTCCATGGCGGAGTGAAACAGCTGACGCCACCCCCCCCTTCTCCCTCCTCCCCAAAAAACAAAGCCAAATGCTCCAAAATCAAAGCTCCCTGACCAGGCCCTCAGATATCAGCGTAAAACACGCTGATTACGCTGATTTTGTAGCTCAGATTTTCGTTTTCCCTGAAAATTCAGCATACGGTATGCTTCAAATTTGCACTGAAATTTCAGTATAAGATACCTTGCCACACTGACCATTTTCCGTGTTGCTGTCCAAGTAGCACTTGTTGGGCTGATACGCCCTGGGATCTTTGTAGAGTTTAAGTCTGAGTAAAGTGATGTAATAGCGGAAGCGTTTGAATAAAGTCCTTGAACCACCTTGCGCTAGTATGTGAGGGCAAAGTAAGTTGATTAAAGCAAAGAGATACAGGAATATATATATGAGTACAGAGAATATGAAGAGATATAATTGTAACTGTTTTACTGTTGCGGTTCGATACAGTGCGACTCGGGCAACTGCTCAATGTCGAGTCAGTTGTATGTCCTTGCTGTCGCGCTGCATCAGGTCAAAGGTCGCTGACCTTTGACTTTCTCGTAACCTCCAAGGGTTGACTCGTGGTGCTTCGATTTGAGCTGCTTCGCTTGTGTCTTGAGTTTCGACACGACAGAGGCGCTTAAGACTATTTGTTCCCAACAGCACTGACGAATCAGTGTAGTGTCGTGAGTCACATTGAAATGGACTAGACCGATTCGGAGTGGTACGCGTGTGTACAGTCTGTACCTGGCCCGGGATTCACGAGACCCCACTAGGCTGTACCTGGCCCGGGATTCGCGAGACCTCACTCACACACTTAACGATGCATGCGCTGTACAGATCGCGTGCCGACGTGTTCTACATTGCTGGAAGGAGCTCTCACAGCGACAAATTTTGAACGGGAAATTCAACTTTGTATTTCTTTTTTACACTGATGGTTCAGTTTACTTATAACTTTTACAGTGGCAAAATCAGTATAAAGAAAACCATGAACGCTGATTTGGACACCTGGGCGACCGGGGCACGCTGATCCATCAACACACCCTCAAACCAAATCTGAGGGCCTGTCCCTGACCAATCCCCGGCTCGTGCGACAGTGCTAAGATGAGGTGTGGAAGGCCAAGAGGAAGAGTATCACAACCTGGGGCCGTTGGCACCCCGGCTTTCTCCATAGCTGCTACACGCCCTGGGGTGCTGCTGTCACCCCATGCAACCCCCCTGGTCGTTCTGCTCCCGGGAGTGTGGCTGTTGTTCTGCTCCCGGGAATGTGGCTGTTCTGCTCCCGGGAATGTGGCTGTTCTGCTCCCGGGAATGCAGTTGTTCTGCTCTCGGTCCCGTGAGTGTGGCTGTTCTGCTCCCGGGAGTGTTGCTGTCAACCCCAGCAGCGCCCCTGGCTGCTGCACGCTCTTGGCTCCAGTTGTGGGGCCCGCCTCCCTACCAGGCTGCTGCATCCCCAGCTGCCCCCGTAATTGCCGCACGCCCTGGGATGCTGCTTTAAACCACATCTGCCTCCTCCCCTCCCCCCCCCCCCCCCGACTCTTGCAAGCCCTAGGGTGTCGCAGGCAACTCCTCTGCCCCCTTGGGCCCTAAATTACGTTTTGAATAAATTACATGATACATTATGTCATCCTGCTATAGCTCAGTTGGTAGAGCGGAGGACTGTAGTTGAGCAATCCTTAGGTCACTGGTTCGAATCCGGCTGGCGGGATGTTTTGTTGCTCTTCAGAATTTTGATTTTGTTTATGTTATCTCTGCGAGCGTACTTTCAAAGTATCTTGGTATTAGGGTACACTCTTGGCCAGTGTCAAGTTTCCTGACACGAGGCTATCAACTTCGTTATGGACCGCATGACACTGGCAAAGAACATACCCTTTGTGAACTAGGTGAAAGGTAGTATAGAATAAGGAAAAGAGTGCAGCAGAGAAGCGTTACACATGCACGCAAAGGGGAAAAAAACTTGCTTGTTTAATATACCGTCGGTCAGCCAGCCCTGTAGCTGCATGCATCAAAGCAGAATTACACTTCAAACCTGACTCTGAATTGATAAAAACCTTACCGGTGTCTCTGATATTTCAGAAAAAATGACTCAAGCGGAGTCAGACAGCTGTCAATCAGCTCCACACCGGTATGCTGCTCATGGCTATCAGCCTATCGCACCGTCGGTGCATCCCGAGCACTAGCAAGGACCTGCATGTATTCCCTTGTGCAGCGCCCTCAGGTTGACTGAGTTCTGCACTGCTGTTGAGGGCCTTTCCACAATGCATTGTTTGTGCCGTGCCATGCCGTGCCGTGCCGTGCCGTGCTGTGCCGTGCTGTGCTGCTATTTGCTCCCCAGGAAAGGAATGGGAGCGGAGGCCCGGCGTCACGAGACAAAGGGGATGCCGGATGGCACCGAGGCGGCGTATCGTGCGTACTCAAGGCCAAAGAAATGGTGCAGGTAGAACTCCTCGTAGCTGGGGGGAGGTAAGGGGTAGGGCACGGTAGCAGAGGAAATAACGTGATGAGTTGAAACGAATGCCGGATGGCACCGAGGCAGTGCGTACTCGATGCCAAAGAACTGGTGCAGTTAAAACTCCTGCATGGAGGGGGGGGGGGAAAGAGGGAGGACGGGGGGGAAGTGGAGGGTGGGGGATGGGAGCAGAGGCACCGAGGTGGCATATCGCACACACTCGAGGCTCAAGAACTGGTGCAGATAGAACTCCTCGTAGCTGGGATGGGGGGGAAGGGAAAGAGGGAGAAGTGGTAGGGGGAGGGTGAGGCATGGGAGCAGGGGGCGGGCGCCATGAGGGTGGGAATGCTGAAAGGGATGGGATGCGAATGGGGCATGGAGGCTGGGAAGGGAACTGGCAAGGTAGTGCAGGGATTGGAAAACGGAGTTGAAAGAGTGAGGTGGACAAGGAAAGACAACGGCAAGGCCGAGAGGGTCAGTGCCACAGTGTGTGAGCAGAGCAGTTTGAGAAATGTGGGTTTGAGCAGTTTGAGCAGTCACAATGTGTGACTTTTGTCGGAATCTTGCTGCTCTGGCCTCTCCTGCGCTCCTTGCCATAGCTCTTCTCCCCCTTTCCTCCTGCTCGTCCCTTCTTCTCTCCCTATGGCTCTCAGCCTGGATTCTGCAGGCTCCTCAACTCCCTGTTCCTTTCCCTTCTGAATCCAATCCCTCTCTCCACTTGCCCCCTCCGCGGCTGTGCTGGCGCCCCTGCTGACTGCCGCTGGATCTCCCCCTCGTGTGCCCTTGTGTCTGGTCGTCCTGCGTGCCTCGCCTTGGCCCGCACAACGTTAGTGCAGTGATCTGTCCTGCGTTGTCCTTGCTCACTCACTAGGACCACTACTCCGGAGTCCTTCACTTCCTTGACCTTCCAGCGCTCCGTGCTCAGCCCGATATCCATCAGATCCTGCTTGGCCTGCTGCAAGCATACCTCCTCCCCGGCCCCCAGTACCTGATCCTTCTTCCCCTTTTGAACCTCCCCCCGTCGCTTGTAGCGTTGTGCATCTCGCAGTTGCGCCACGTGCAGGTTTTCCAGCGCCGCAGGTAAGAGTTCCCTCAGGTAACGGGCCCTTGCCTCTGCTAATCCCACCCAATCTGCTTCGTTCTCCACTCGCACCGAGCCCGTGAGTATCCTCGGCGCGTCTACTGGTAACACCGGCTCTCGTCCCAGGAGAAGGTAGTATGGCGATAGGTCCCGCAGTGCGGCCTGCTTGCTGAATCTGTATCCAGCCACCACCCATGCCAACCGCACATCCCAATCCCGCTTGAATTGCTACCCGTATGCCCGGAGCCCACTTCTCACTGTCTGAACAAACCGTTCCGTGAGCCCATCACTCTGCGGGTGGCTAAGTTGGAATATACGCTTGGGTTTGTAAGCGTACTGCGTTTGTACGCTAGCGTATACACGTAAATGTGCAAAACGCAAAATGTACGCTTCGATATAATGCGGGCAGCCCGGGCGGAAAAAAAAAACAAAAGTTGCAGATTTCGAGTTAGCGATTCGCACAACATTGTTCCCACGTCACGGACACCAATGAACTCTCGAATTTCAATTTTTGAAAGCTACACATGTTCCTACCGCATTCAACCCCAGCTTATCTCTCTCACTTCCAACCCATCAGTCCCCACCAGCAAAGCTGCTCACGACTATAGAAGGTGAGCGTTCAGCACCCAATTTTCATTCTCAGTTGTTGTACTCCACTTTCAGCGTTTTCTACCTCCAGCTCTCAGCTTTCTTAGCCACAGCTACCATGTCTACTCCAACTTCCACTCCCGCGAGTGGCACCGCTGGTGAGGATACCAGCGCCGAGGCCTCCACCGCGGAGGAGTTTCAGCCCGATACCAACCACGTGGTGTTCAAGCACTTTCGCGTCCCCATCCGCGAGAACGTGAAGGGCGTTCCGCGCATTTGCAAGCACTGCAAGCTGGAGTTCGTCGGCGTGCAAGCTGTGCGCAGCACATCGTCACCTGGAAGGGCATGCGTCGCCGCGAGGTGCGCCTCTGCAATGCTGCTCCATCAACGGCCCGTAACGAAATCCGCGCTCTTTACGAGAAGAAGCATTCCTCTCGCGACTTCAAGCGGCGGGCGGAGGAGTTCGCCCTGGAGGCTGTTTCTGGACGCGCGAAACAAGGCCGCATCAGCGACACCTACGGCGACGCGGCTGCTTGCGCGAAGACCGACGCGGACGACGCCATCTGCCTAATGTGGGCCGGCCTGCGCCTCCCGGAGCACCACGCGGACCACGTTTTGTGGCGGAATGCTGTCCGTTGCATCAACAACGCGCCAAAAGGTTACGTGCCCCCTCGTCGCCGCTACGTCGGAGGTGCGGGATTGCAGAAGACCCGGAAGATGATTGAGCAAGGCCTTTCCCCGATGGTCGCCAGCTGGAAGCGTGACGGTGTCACGCTCTCGTCCGACATCATGCCCGACAAGAATGGCCGCCCCCAGGGCAACGTCTTGCTCATCAACGACTACGGTGCGGTCTTCACCGAGAGCGTCGATTGCAAGCTGGAGCAGAAGACGGGTTGTACATCGCCAGCGTCCTCCGCCCCATTGTGAAGACAGTCGGCCCCGAGCACGTGGTGTCTCTCTGCGTGGACGGCGGGAGCAATTACGCGAGCGCCTTCAAGGAGTTGGCGCTTGAGTGGTCACACATTGAGTTCGTCCCGTGCGCGACGCACGTCATGGACTTGCTCATGGAGGATGTTGGGCGGATGGATTGGGCAAAGAACGTCGTGGAGAGGGCCAACGAGATCATCACCTTTGTGCGCAACCATCACTTCACCCGCAGGTACCTGAGGAGCCCGCAAGTGCAAGGGGGAAAAGGGAAGCAAGTGCTGAAGCCGGCGGGCACAAGGTTTGGCACGCAATTTACCGCTGTTTCTCGGCTTTGTGAGGTGCGGGTCTCTCTCGTGCAGATGGTGCTGAGCAAGGAATGGGAGGAGTTTGCGAAAACAAGGAAAGAAGGCGCCGAAACCTTCAAGTCCAAGATCATGGATGACCCGTGGTGGAAGAAGGCTTCTTACTTCAGCGACTTGATGAAGCTGCCATTCGTCGTGATGCGCGCCACCGTCTCAACCAAAAAAGGCATGATGGGGCGCATCTACGACACGATGCTTCAACTCACTCAAGATGTGAACACTAAGGTTGAAGAGGGGGGGGAGGTCCTGACCCGGGCTGACAAGGCGGAGATTACCAAGATGGTGGGCACCCGCTGGGATGGGAGCATGGCATGTGCCATGCATGTTGAGGGGCGGATCCTGAACCCCCTCAACCAAGAACAAGGTATCTTTCGCAATGACTTGGAGTGCACCCGCATCTTCAAGCCTTACCTCAACCGCCACTACGACGGCATCACCATCACGCGGAAGGATGGTGAGGAGCGGCGGGCCGCCCATGTCCTGCAGGAGGGGCTGGAGGCGTTCATGACGCTTCAGGGAAGTTTCGGCCTCCCTGAGGCGATTTCTGACCGTGAGCTTGTCAAGGCAGGGAAGAAGACCATGGTCCAGTGGAGGACCTGGCACGGTACCGACAACCCAGAGCTGACTGCCCTGGCTTGCCGGGTCCTCTCTCAGCCCGTTTCCGCCGCTGCATGCGAGCGGAATTGGGCTATGTGGGACGCTGTCCACACTGCACGGCGCAACAGGTTGGGGTCCGAAAAATGCCGCGACCTAGTGTTTGTTGCGCACAATTGGAACATTGTGCACAACTGGCACAAGGCCGGGGAGGGGATGGGGGTATTGGTGGGGAACATTCCCGAGCCTCCCATCCCTGAGGGGTACAAGGAAGATCGGGAGGAGGTGGAGGAGGGGGAGGATGACGTGATGGAGGATGAGTATGTTGAGTAGAAAGGGGCGTGGGCAGCAGAGAGGTAAGGAGTACGGGTGGGGTAGTATAAGGCTGGATTTCCAAAGGACCAGGGAGGGAAGGGAGGGGGTATGATGGGGAGACAGTAGTTGCTCTTTGTGGGAGTAGTTAGGACGTTGAAGGGGGTGTAGGCCACCTGGAATTTGCTATGTATTTGCATGTTATTTAATGGGAAAAAAAAACTGGGGAGGGCAGAGGTGTGGGTGAAAAGTGCCCCCTCCCCCTCCCCTCTCCAGAACCTTTTTTTACCCTGCCCGAAAAAGTTTTTCCCCTGCCCGGACGACCGTATTTCCAGCGTATATCAAAGCCTTCTCTGGACGTATTGCGTACTATACTCTAGCGTATACACGCGTGCGTACAAAACGCGAAACGCGTATATTCCAACTTAGGCGGGTGGTAGCGGGATGTCCTCCGGTGAGTGATGCCTGTGGCCTGTAGTAGCTTATCGAACTCCCCCATGAACTCCATTCCTTGGTCTGTGAGGACTTCCCCGCATGCCCCAAACCTAGTGAGGACCTGCTCCTCGAATGCCTCAGCTATTTTGGCCGAGTTCTTGCTAGGGAGGGCCCGTACTTCGACCCACTTGCTGCCGTGTTCTATCATGATCAGTATGTAGCGTTTCCCTCGTCGGCTCAGCGGCATCTCTCCCGCTAGGTCCAGGGACCATCTGAACCCAATCCCATGGATAGGTAGGGATTGCAACTCCTTCCTGCCCCTTGCCAGCTCGGCCTTGTTTCTGCTGCACAGCTCGCACCTGTCCACCCATTCCTTGATTTCCTTCCGCATCCCTTCCCACCACCATCCAGTCTCCACTAGCTGGGTAGTGCGTAGGCTCCCGTAGTGTCCCAACTGCTGATGAACGCTGCGGATGATTTGCTCTCGCTCGTGCTTCCATGGGACCAGTTTCCACCCATCCCGCGAGTTCTTTTGCAGCTGCTCTTGATGCCACCGGTAGTGGGCTCCCCGGGCCCTAGCTCTCTCGCTAACTGGGGTCTCCTCGGATGTCTTTCCCTGCACCCAGTCCAGGACCTCCCTGTCATCCCATACGTCTGCTGGCCCCTTCCCCTTTTCGCGGCAAGCTCCCTCTGCATCTATCTCTCTCGCTAGCGCCACTAAGCAGGAGGTAGGTCGGTGGATAGGTGGGTTGCTTGACAGCCCGTCTACGTGTTGCATGGTTTTGCCCGCGCGGTGCTATATGGAGAAGTCGTATTCTTGGAGCCGCATGGCCCAGCGCGCGTTTCTTCCGGTCAGCGCTTGGTTGGTCATCAACCATGTCAAGGGCTGGTGATCCGTCACTAACTCGAACGGTCTCCCCTGTAGGTATACTCGGAAGTGGGTAATCGCCCATACGGCTGCCAGCCCTTCCCCCTCATACGAACTGTAGTTGGCTTCCGCGGGGTTGCAGCTTCGACTGACGAAGGCCACAACTTTCTCTTCGCCATCTCTCTTCTGACACAGGATAGCCCCCATTCCCGCGCTGCTCCAGTCCGTGTAAAGCACAAACGGGTCTTCCTTACTGGGCAATGTCAATACAGTAGCGGTTTTTACTGCTTTTAGCAGTGCCTGCAGTGCCCCCTACTCTGCCTCCCCCCATTCCCATTTCTGATCTTCCCTCAGTAGCTTATTTAAGGCCGCCGCCGTTTTGCGGAAGTTCGGTATGAACTTCCGGTAGTAATTAAGGAACCCAAGCACCGCCCTTAGCGTGCTCCGGTCCTTCGGCTGCGGGACTCGGTCTAGGACCTCCACCTTCGCTTGCTGAATTCCCAGCTGCCCTCCTTGAACCTCAAACCCCAGGTACTTCGATCCGGTGTTCCCGAAACTGCACTTCTTTGGATGGCAGGTGAGTCCGGCCCCTCGAATAGCGTCTAGCGTAGCCTTCATGTCCTTCACGTGCTGCTCCGCGTCTGGGCTGAAGATCACTACGTCGTCAATGTAGCATGCTGCTGCCGACACTCCTCGGAGTATGGTCTCCATGATCCGCTGGAACAGAGCCGGCGCATTCTTCACTTCGAATGGCATAAACCGCCATTCGTACAGGCAATCCGGCCCATGGATCGCTGTTTTCTTGCGGTCAGCCACCCGTATAGGGATCTGATTGAATCTCTGGCTCAAGTCCAGGGTGGAGAACATCTTCGCCCCCTGCAGCTTATAAAAAATCTCTTCCGCTGACTGCATGGGGTATCGGTCAGCCACCGTGACCTTATTCAAGCTCTTGAAATCCCCGCACATCCTCCTCGCGGACACGGCCCCAGTGAGATCTTTCCTGGAAGCCACGACCGTCGCTGCGGCATAGTCGCTCTCTGATCGCTGAATCAGCCCTGCTTCCAGCAACTCGTTGCATTTCTCCGTGCAGATCTCTAGGTCTCCTGGGCTCATCCGCCGTTTCCGCTGGTATATCGGGACATCCGTGGTGAGCTCGATCTTCATTTTGTGCGTCGTGCACTTCCCCAGCTCCTGCAGGGTGTACGCGAAAGTTCCGCGGTGTTGCTTCAGCACCTCTTCCAAAGCTGCCGTTGATACCAGGTCCATCCCTCCTCCGAACACCCAATCCTCCACTAGCCCTTGGTCTCCCTGTGCTGCCTTCTCCCCCTCGGTTTCCGCATCTCCTCCGTTCTCTCCTTCCATCCTTTCCATAGCCATGTACGCCGCCCATCCTTCATCTATCCTCTCCTCGTATCGCTCCTCTATCCTAGCCAGCGTTTTCCTGTGCCATTCTGCTGAGTCCCGGTCTCGGTTTTGCTTGCTAAACGTGATGTCCCTCTGTAGTGCCTTCGACTTCAGGTGCATCCGCATGGTATCCAGCAGCCATGTCATCACGTTCGCGTCCATGGCACGGCCCAGAGCGGCGCGTCTCTGCTACTCCGTCACCTCGGGGTGTGCGGTGGCTCCCCACAGGTGTCCCATGGCTACTTCACGCTCGTTCGCCGTCGGCTGTTCCCAGATTCCCCTCCGCACGTCATAGATCATCCCGGGTCCTGGCAGATCCCCCTCCATGACAAACCCGCGGGCTTCCGCGTAAGACACTAACGTGAGCAGTGCCTGCCGGGGTTTGCACGGCTCGTTGCACTCGTACTGCGTGGGGTGGTCCGGGCTAGTCACGGGCGCAGGCAGGCGGTTCGGCTCCAAGATGTCACTCACTAGGCGTGGCTCTGGTAGTTGCATCAACGCCAGCGAATGCCGTAACACTGTCGTAGAGAGCACGTTATGCCAGTACCTCCGTAGTCTGTGTGCGCGTGAACCCAGCTGTGCCGCGTCAACAGGTACTCCTCTCCCCAGAACCCCCGCTATCTCTTCGAAAGCCCGTTTCACGGGTTCTCTCCGATCCTCGGCCAAGTCCACGTTCTCCAAGACGAAAGCGACCTCCCCTTGGCGCTGCTGAATCATCTCAAACACTCGTCTGAGGTCACGGAACGACGCGCCCCTCACATCTTCCATCCCCAGCCCTTCCCCGGCTATGGAGTACCCTTGGCATTCCCATCCCGCGATGACCAGGTCCACTTGGCCCCAGTCCTCTAGCACCCGCTCGGAAATCTCCCTGACGTCGTGTATTTCTGGCTCGTCTTCTTGCGGAATAGCGTCTTCCCACATCTGATCCGAGTACTCGTCTCTTAGCAACATGTCATGGTGCCGAGCCATCTTCCTCACCACTGGATCGCGCTCTATGTGGATCCACCGCTTGATCGTGCACCCCGCCCTTAACGCTGCGGCCAAGCCGGTCCCGATCCCCCCATATAGCTCCAGCATCCGGATGGGCCCGTCTAGTGCCCATACTCGACTGACACTTTCCGCCAGGTCTGGTGCGCCCCGCCCCAGAGTCCGATCTTCCACCCGTCGTTCGTACTCATCCCCGTACCTCTCCCAATGCAATTCCTCCAGCTCCTCGGTCAAGTCCTGCTTCTGGGCCTAGTACGCCTCCCACGGCTCCTGCCGAACGAATCGCACTGGCAATGTGCCCACTGAACTCTCCGGGTCCCAGTACTGCGCCCGGAACAGCACCTTCTCCTGCCAGGTGCAGATTGTGGCTCCCACACGAGGAGTTCCATCTCAACGAGGACGTCATAGTCTTCGGATTCCGAGACTGCGCACTGCAACCGGATACAACACTCCTTCTCCATCCCTAGTAAAAGCACCACTTCCACTAGCCGCCTCGTTTTCGGCATCCACTTGGGTTCTCCGCCCTCCGCGGTCATGAGTAGAATCCCTCTCTCAAGGGTTCGTCCGACCACGTCTAGTTTCGGCTGCTTGGCGAGTCCCTTTCCTATCAAGACGTGGTGCGCGCTGATGTGAATGATGGCTTGCTTCACGAGTAGGCCTCCCACCGTAAGGCTGGCTTTCTCCGCGATTAGCACTGACGCTCGACAGACCAGTCGCTCATTCGGATGCCTCCGCATGCCCGGAGGTCTCGTCTCTTCCGCCTGACTAGGCCGTGGGCGGATCCCGCTCGTCACTCTGCTATCCTGAGACTGGCTAGGCCTTGGTCGGAGTCGGATGTCATCTCGCGCTCGTGGGTATGCCATTACCGCGTATTCCCGCTGGTAGTCCTCCTCTCCCTCCCCTTCGGCCTTGTCAATCTCTTTGTACGCCAGCAGCGCTCGCGCTTTCACTTCCTTCGATTGGGGTAATTGCTCCAGCCGCAATTGGAGACGTCGGACTTCAGCTTGGAGCTCCTCCCTGGTGGCTCCCAGCGATTCTCTCGGCCGACTGTAGCATTCCTCTTTCCAATGTCCCCGCTTCCCGCACTGCTCACAGGTCGGCGCCTTGGGGCAGTCGCGCTTCAGATGCCCAAGCTCTCTGCAAGTGTGACACAGCCGAGGGTCTGTCCGGCTGCCGTTACTCGGGGGGGTCTCTGGTACTGCCGCGGCGGCCCAGCTCGTCCTCGCGCGACCCTTTCCATCAGAATCGTCCAGATCCAGCAAACGTTGGGCTTGTTCCGTCCTCTTCGTCAGCAGGTATATTTCCTTAAGAGTGATGTCTGCGCCCA